GCCGAGTGACCAAACCATGAACTGCTTTTGTTTACAAAAATCATGTGCGTTGTCGCGTCAGATTCCGATGTTTTTCTTGAGCTCAGATGCAACATGTTCTGGACATTTCGCATCTAAATCCCATTATGCCAAGTCCTGATGCGGTCGAGTATCAGTGTCCTACCGGATATGCCTACCTCACAGAATTGTTGAGAAGTTAAATGAGAAGACTCCAGGCAGGTGTGCTTCCTGGTGCCTGGCAGGTTACTCTGAACTCGATAAACATTATCTCCATTAAGCCAACTTCTCTCTCTCTTGCTAGGTGAGTGTGAATGGACAACACTTCCTTCATTACACTTACCGGCTCCCATTGTCCCGGGTGGACACCCTGGGTATATCTGGTGACATCTTGGTGAACGCTGTTGGATTCCTGAACATCAATGTAAGTTTCTCGGGTGCTAAGACCTGGGTGAGCGGAGCGTCCAATAGTCTCTGGCATCTAGACCTTTTCTTCTATCCAGGTCAAGAAGAAGAGGAGGGCACAATGATCAATCAGGGTACTGGGTGTGAGTCAGAGCAGGGAAGAGCAGGGAGTCTGGAAGTCCGCATGTGTGTGGTGGTGGACACAGAAGGGCCTGGCCAGAAGGTGAATGACTGGCAAAGTGAGGCCCAATCAGACTACAGCTGGTTAGATCCTTCCCACCTGAGGAATTTCCTAAGCATGCAGAATTCCAAGCAATGTAACCCATCACATAAACAAAATAATCACAGAACCCACTTCTGATAAAATTGCTCCACAAAGTCGGGACAAAAGGGAAACTCTTCAACACAAGGCAGCACATGAATACAAAACCAACAGCCAACAGTATTTGCAACAGTGAGGTATTGAAGTCACTCCTTCCTGAGAATGGGAATCAGAGCAGGATGCCCTTTACCACAACTCTTAAATGAACATTGTACTGCAAGTCCTCGCTAGAACAGCAAGGCAAGAAAATAATATAAAAGGCATTTAAATTGATAAGTAAAACTATTCCTGTTTGCAAATAATATGACCCTGTACATAGAAGATCACAAAGATTTCACAAGGAATCTCATTTAACTAAGAGAAGGATTCAGAAAGTAACAAGATAACAAAATCATCATACCAAAAAAACCCACAAACATTTGGAGTTCTCTACACTAACAAAAAGTATGTAAAAAAAAGGAAATCAGGAACATATTAGCATTTACAATAGCTCCCCCAAAGCTAGAAGGTGTAGGAATATATCTAGGCAGGGATGTAAAAGAGTCATACAAAGAAAACTACAAAACACTAGTGCAAGAAACCAAATGAGACCTATGAGTAGATAAATGGAATACCATGCCATACTCATAGATAGGAAGATTTAACATTGTGAAAATGTCAATCCAACCCAAAACAATCTATGGAGGTAAGACAATCCTGATCCAAGCTTCAACAGCACTCTTTAGGGAGAAGGGAAAAACAAATCACCAATTTTAAACAGAAAGGAAAAAGATCCCAGAAAAATAAGGCATCACTGAAGAACAACAATGTAAAAGGCCTCACACTACTTGATCTCTGAACCTTTGGTATAGCCATAATAATAACAACAGCCCAGTGCCGTTTCAACAATAGCAACAACAGACACTAGACTCATGGAACAGAGTTGAGAATACATATTGTAAATCCATTCACCTAGGGGCAGTCGATCTTTGACAAAGGGCCAGAATCCATTAAATGGGGAAGAGATAGTGTCTTTAACAAATTGTGTTACCCAAACTGTATATCTATCTGTAGACAAATGAAACTGGGCTCATTCCTCACACTACACACAAAAGATAACTCAAAATAGACCAAAGATTTAAATAGAAAACCTACAGCTATAAAGATGGTGAAAGAAGGGGGAAATTGTAATCATAACTAAAACTGCACTAACGGCAGCGGAAGAAGTAGATTAGAGGCAGGAAGGGATAAGACAGAAGGCCCAGTGGTAAACACCGGGAGGAAGTGGGAGTGTGCTCTTACCTTGTGGGGAAGGCAATGGAAATGAGTTCTTGAATGGAACACTAATGCACTCTATGAACTTTCACCCATAGCAATAAAATGCTGCTGTTTTACACTACACTGAAATACCCCCTCACCCCGACAATCATGGAAATAAAAAACAGACAGACAATAACACCTGCAGTGAGGTTGTATGGGACCGGAACTCAGACACTGCCGGTGGCAGTGTAAAATGGCCTCTGTCCCCTCCCAGGCCTAGCAATAGAGGAGAGGGGCCAAGTGCTACTTGATGCTCTGGGATGGTCTGAATCCTGCCTATTATTTTGCTTTGTTTTGTTTTCCTCTTTGAACAGCCATTTATGGAGGGCAGCAAAGAATATCCAGTTGGATACGTGAGTATCGTCGGGAGCAAGAATGGGCCTAGTGGCCCCGGACATAGCAGATGGCCAGCTGGTTCTACTTTCTCCCCGCAGCATGACCTGCCCATCTCTGGGCCGCCTCGCACATTCTACAAGGCTCGGGGCTCCCCTTTCCCCATGGATCCAGTTGCCCTAGATGTGGCTGCCTCATCTTCTGTCTCTGGAAGACCAGGCTTCCCTCTCCTGCCCTGGCTTCCCGGCGGGAAAATGCCCTGGGACTGGTTGGATGCCTGGAGTGGGCAGGGCCCTGGCATTCCGGTCAGATCCCTCTGCGCTGAAGCTTTCAATGTTCAGAGCAGCCCTGTGAGGTAGTGAGGGCTTGGCTTCTCAGGAAGGAATCAGACGTAAGGTCCATGCATTTGCCCAAAGCCACACACAGGATGAGACAGAGCCCCCACCCTGTCTTGTCTTCCCCAAGTTTCCACAAGTGGTGATCCTGAGTTCAAGAGAACCCATGGTTGTCCTCACCTGCTGCCATGGGAGATGAACCCACCCAACTCCACTGCCAGAGAGTTGGTCCAAGCTCCGAGTCATCCTGTAGGATAGAGTACAACTGCCCTTTGGGGTTTTTGAGACTTGAGATCTTTATCTTTCTTATAAGATCTTATCTTTGTCTCGCAGAGCAACTGGTGGGTGGAAAGTGTAGGCCTTGTGGTGAGCAGCTCAATGGTAGCCCATCCAATCTCCTTAGACAAACCCCCAGATAGCGTTGATTTTTTAAGAATGGTAGCCCATCCAAGCTCCTTAGGCAAACCCCCAGATAGCGTTGATATTTTTAAGAATGATACTGACGGGCATCGAGGCAATTCGGATTCTTGGAGACCCTACAGGACAGGCTGACCTGCCCCTGTGGGTTTCCAAGACTGTAACTCGTTGTGGAAGTCACCTTGCCTCGTCTTTCTTCTGACCTTGCAGTTAGGAGAAGCCAATGCAGAACCTCGACGCCACCAGGGGGCCTCAAGAATAAGACAGGCAGTACCATTTCATTATGCAGACCCACGTCTTCCATGTCTCTCACTTTCTTATTTTCCCTGCAGCCGTTCCTGCTGAAAAGTCCCAGACTGGTGAGTGAACCAAGTCCTCCTCTTCGATCCTGGGGGGTCTAGTCCCTGGCCTGCTCAGGAGCCCCACCTAGTGGCAAATCCCCTCAGCAGCAGGGTTTCCCCTCCCTCCAACAACATGCAGGCTCTAGAGTTCCTCCATCCTGCAAGCAGGTGACATTTCTGTTCCAGGCCTTGGGCCCTGCAAACCTGTCCCAGCCCTCTAGGAACTCACAGGCTGGTGGGGGCGACAGACAGACCCCAGAACAGACGGTTGTGGTTCAGAATGCAGGAAGGGGAGGCCTCTTACACACTCTGGGCACCGGGGGGGCACCAAGCTCAGCCAGATCAGGCCTCAGAAGGCTGTGGGCAGAAGCAGCCCACAGACAGCTGGCTTACAGTGGGCATTGGATAACCAAGTGGAGCTGAGTCTTCTCCTGACTGCAGGTGTAAAGACAGAGGCTTACTTGCTCCGCAGCTCCCCGGCCCTGAGGGAGGTGTAGGAATTCCATCGGGGGTAGGGGGCTCCTCTCAAAGGACAGTCCTCTCCCCATGAATCACCTTCTGAGTCACCTCTCATGTGTGTTCCTCCAGGAGGTCCCGTGCTCGCGTGTTCTCCCTCGGGGTCTCTGGCCCGGGCAGGTCATCATAGTGCGGGGACTGGTGTTGCAAGAGGCAAAGGAGTAAGTACCCAAGGGAAGGGTGGACGCAGTGCCTCTTTGGCCTTGATTACAGAGCTCCGGAAAGAAACCCAGGGCTCCTGAAAGACTGGCCTCGTCGTGGTCCTATCTGCCCAACTCTGGAAGTAACTTCCTGGTCAGTCCAACTAGCCGCTCATCAAAAGGGTCCCAGAAAAGACCCCTTGCAAGAGCAGTCTGGGGTCTAGAAAGAGGAGTCAGCTTCACACGTTGGCCCACAGGCAGGAGTGGGGGAGCGATGGCGCTTGGAAGCTCAGATTTGAGCGACTCCGTTATGAAATAGGACAGTGCCAGACTGCTCCTGAAGAGGGTGCTCGAACCTCAGCCAACAAACCCTTCAGGTCACACCCAGTCTGAAAGAGGGTATCCACTTACTCATTTATTGTTTGCTTTGATTTGCCACCGTATTTTAAGAAATGCCTTGAGTTTATGAGCTTTCTGGGCCAGACTGCCTGAAGTTTAACTTCTGCTTTATCCACGTACTGCCTGGTGCCACTTCAGGATGGTGACTTGTGCCTCAGTGTCCTTATCTGTCAACGGTGTGTGTGTGTGTGTGTGTGTGTGTGTGTGTGTGTGTGTGTGTGTAATAGCAGTGCCTGCTTCAGAGGTGGTGTAAATGTGTAGACTAGTGCTTGGCACACAAGCCCTCGACAGGGGCCAGTGGAATGACAGTGAACCTGGAGAGCAAGGGGAGCGGTCTGTGTTCCCCTAGGACGTCACTGACCTCACTGAACTCTGGCCTTGCATGTTCTTGGCCATGCCTGGGAACTCTGGGCAGATGTGAAGCCTGGCACCACTCAGCATAAGCTTTGAAGCCAGACATGGTTGGGGTGGGTTTCTAGTTTTGCCTGTGATACACTGTGTGGTATTGCACAAGTCACTAGCCCTCTCTGTGTCTTGGTTTCCCCATCTGAAAAAAAGAAGACGGATAATCCTGAGCTTACAATGTAAACAGAAAGGTGCCCCTGAGGAGAAAGAGCCCCTCTTTTAACACTTGGAGATAGAAGAGCAGGTTTGCATCCTAGTGCAAAGTCACATCATCACAACAGCGCTTTCTCAAAGGTCGTGGATGCAAATGCCCTTGGAGGCCAGGCAGGTCCCACAGGGCAGCGCCAGGCTGGGGAGGTGGTGACAAGGAAAGAATATTTCCATAGGCTCAGTGATACGAGATCTTCTGATTTTTTTTGTTGTTTCTTTAAAAAAATCATTTTATTGATACAAAATTCACATATCATACACTTCTATAGTTAAGTCGCTTTTAAAGAGTTGCATATACATCATCACAATCCGTTCTAGTGCTCCTTCTCCCCTCTCACATTCCTTATTTGCTCCCCAATTCCCCTCACCACCCCCTTCACCCTCCCACCCCTGTCCTGATAAGCCATTGCATCGGTTATTGTTTCCATGCATCCACTCCTTCTGTGCTTCATAAGCTGGGACACCTGACAGAAACAATAAAAATAAAAAACAAAAGATAATGAAAAAAATATATAAATAAAGAGCAAGAAAGAAAATACCTCCAACAATATTAAAAAGCCAGAGAAGACATTTCTGGCATGGAGCAAGCGAGAAATATTTAAACCTAGAGCAAATTCAGGTCAGATCAAGAGGGAGGTCATCTGAACAGATATCACATTATACCGTAGTTCCATCCACCGTAATCAAGTTTATAATAATCTCTGCCTGATAGCAAAGCTATTTGAGTCCCTCCACTGTGGCCAGAGTGTGTCTGCCAGAGGTTTGATCCGACTACTTACTCTACAGAGTCCTTCATAGCCTTCTACAAATGGTTTGTTCACAATTTAAGCTTTGATACTGTTCCTTTCATCATATTTGGATTTTTTTTATTGTCATCTTTAGGTCACACAGGTTGGTGTGCTTCCTCCATGTGGGCTTAGTTGGTGTCTCACTTAATGGCTGCTTATTTGAATACAAGCCTTTCAGACCCCAGACACTATTCCATTTGATAGCCAGGCACCTTCTGCTTTCTTCACCACCCTTTGCTGTAGCACCTTATCTTCAGTGATCAAGCAGGGCCATGTTGATTTTTTTCCCCCTAAGTAGACACTGGAAGCCGTGTTCTATATAAAAGTCTCTGGTGTTTTGAACACTGGATTGATTTCTGATTTAAGAATGCATATAGAGAATACTATAGTAAGAATTCTCTAGGGTCAATTGAACTGTGGGCTGTCCCCTCCCACTCCAATCACCCAGAGGCATGTATCCTGGCTCTCATTCCAGATTGAGACCCAGCTATGACTAGGTATCAGATCAAATCACTGAGCATCTTTTCCTGAACAGGGCAATAGGCTGATAAGCCCCAGGGCACAGGCTTTTTGTAGGGACTAAGAGTAAGAAACACATCTGTAAACCATCTGCCAGGTACTAGCTAGCTTTCACATTCTCTCCTTTCTTTTGATCAGGGGTCCTATAAGGTAAGGATTGCATTCAGGAACAATATTTTAATAACGAGAAGGATCATTTAGGTGTTTACTAAGTGCTAGGCATTGTCATCTATATCGACTCCTTGAGTTCTCACAACAGCCCCTGAGACATGCACGGCACTATGATGACCCCCATATTACACCCGAGGAAACAGAGACACTGAGTCCACTTGACTTGCCCCAGGTCACAAGACAAGTAACTAGCAGAGCCAGGGTTGGACCCAGGCAGCTTTGCTGTAACCACAAAGCCCTTCCTAAACCTCTTAAAAGAGAACCCCCCAAGACTCAAACTCACGGACATCCAGTTCGATTCAACTCAGAGCAAGCCAAGAGGACAGGGTAGACCTGCCCGCTTTAGGTTTCCAAGGCCTTACAGTTGTTGCTGTCATTAAGTCCTGTGGGGATGGCTGTGACTCAGAGCGACCCTCTGGATAACAGAAGGAAACATTGCCTGGTCCTGCACCATCCTCACGATTGCTCTTATGTGTGAGCGCCTTGTCGCGTCAATCCATCTCGTCCCATCCACAGCCTCCTCTTCATCCCGCAGAGCAGCTCGCGACTTCCTTAGTCGGCTCTGCTACAGAGGCCCTTTTCAATCACGTCATTAGCCTCCCCATTTTGAGAAGGTCAGCTGACGCTCAGATCATTTAAACAGCCCCCCAGCCAGCACGTGGCAGCTCTGAGATTCCGTCGCGGGACTGAACAAGACGGCCCAGTTCTGTCTGCACTCCTCTGAGCTGTTCCAGAAGCGCCCTGGTGGCACAGTGCTTAAGCACACTCCTGGCGAAGCTAGCTGGGCGGTTAACCCCAGAGGCCTGGGGTCGCAACCCACCAGCCAAGACCGACAGCCTGGGAAACTAACGGGGGGCAGTTCTACCCTGTCCTGGAAGGTGGCTATGGGTGGGGATGGCCTGTACCGGGGCACTGGGTTCCGTCTTATCTGGGACTGTTACAGGTGCCAGCGTCCAGCCCAGGGCCTGTCATGGGCCCTTTTCTTCGGGAGGAAGATCTGTTGACCTTTCTAGCCGCGTCCACCTCCATCCACCCGGCATGGGGGGAGCGGTGGTGGTGGTGGTGGGGGGGAGTCTCAGCCACCCATGGCCGGTCGGGCAGGTAGGTGCTGACGGATTCCCTCCTGGCCCCTTCCTGCAGTTTCACGTTGAGTCTGCGGGACCAGTCGGCTCGCCTTCCTGTGACGCTCCGGGCTTCCTTCGCAGACCGGACCCTGGCCTGGGTCTCTCCTTGGGGACAGAAGAAGCCCATCTCGGCCCCTTTCCTCTTTTACCCTCAGCGATTCTTCGAGGCAAGTCCGAGCCCGGGGATGGGGGGCTCCATTCCCCCCGCGCTCCGGGCGATAGATGGATGGCAGCGGCGTGTCCGGGGTGCGGAGGTGGCGGGGACCCTGCGCCCGACAGAAGGAAACCCTGCCCGGCCCTGCGCCGTCCTCCCCACCGTTCTCGTGTCGGAGCCCAGGGTGGCAGCCACTGTGCCAACCCCTCTTTCTCTGCCGCCTCTTTACCAAGCGCGATGTCCTTCTCCGGGGACTGGGGTCTCCCGACATGTCCATCCCTGCCCCTAAGGAGCACCCTGGCTGTACTTCTTCCAAGACAGATCCCTTTGTCCTGTTAACAGTGAGCCATCATCTCCAACATTTCTTCCCCGGCGCTCCCCTGGGGTGGGCGGGGCAACCGGGGGCAAGAAGGAGCATGCCGGAACCGGAAACGGGCAGGGCTAACAAGAACTTCCGGGTCAGCCCTCCAGGATGCCATTCAGAATCCCATACCCCTAAACTCACGGTTCGTTCACCTGGATGGGCCCAGGCATCAGTGAGTTTACAAAGTTCTCCTGATGACTCCTTTGGGCAACTGCAATTGGGAGTGACTTTTGTTCGGGCAAGTAACCCTATTGAAACTCACTGCCAGTTAGTCAATTCCTATGCCAGGCAGCGAAACCGGGTCAGCGCTTGGAAGAGGATGGCAGGTTACAGCGGCCTTGGGACAAGCCGAGCCTTTCACTTTTCTTCCACCCCACTGCCCCCTGGGTCCAGTCTTTGGAGGCTCTGGCGGGAGGAGGGGCACACTGGCAAGCAAAGAAAGATCTGACGGGAAGCTCACTGCCATCTCCCTTCCCAGGTGCTGCTCCTGTGCCACAAGGAAGGGCTGAAGCTGGCGCTCAATGGGCAGGGAGTAGGGGCCACCAGCCTGGGCCCGCAGACCCTGGAGCAGCTGCGGGAGCTTCGGATCAGTGGTGGTATCCAGCTCTACTGCGTCCACCCCTGAAGGGGGCTCCAGGAGACCCCTGGCCAGAGAAAAGAAGGGCGTACGTATTCCAGGGCCCTGGAATATGGCCCTACTCTCGATTCTTCACTGGCCTGCCTGCCTTTCCCCATATCAGGACTGATTCCCTTCTGGTGTTCCAGGTCTGGGGCTGCAGGGCCTTCAGGCTCCATAGCAGAGAGAAAGCATAATAGTGGGAAGTTCCTGCGGAAGTCTCTACCTCCTCCACCCCGAGCCTAGAATTGCGCCTCCTCTTCCTTCAGAGCCTAGACAGAGGCGCAGAGAAACCGTTTTTGTAGCCTAACGAAGCTATCTGGAAAGACCTTAAAGAATTTGGAAGTTTGTTTGATTCTCATCGAGCAGCCCTTGGGGTGCGGATCGTTAAGGTTAGTGGGTCTCCTCTTCTCCCACAGACAGCAAGGGCTTTTCTAATCACCATCCCAGCACTGTGAGGACATCGTTGTTGTCTGCATGGCTGACGTTTGGATGCAGCACCCTATCTCGGTCTCAGCCACTGAAAATCTGGATGGAGAATGTAGACAAGGGCAACTGGATGGCATAAGTCCCCAGCATGGCATTGGCATATGTTGTGCACACTTACTCCTGTCTGAAAAGGAAACGGGAATGTTTTTCACCGGATGGTCAGAGTTCTGTTTAGTATGAAAGAAAGGGGTCCTGGGTTTGCATGAATCACTACAGACTCTGTGACGAGGAGATGCTGTTTCCGCCCTCATTTTATGAAAGAGAAAAGGGTCTGTCATTTGCCAAGATCACACAGGCAGTAAGGGGTGGTGCTGGGATTTGATCCCAGGGATTCTGCCTGAGCAGTGACTCTTTACGGATAGAATCTAGTCCATCCATCCATACATACTCTAACTCACACATGAAGATTGGCACAGGAGTTAGGAGGCATAAAAGAAACTTGAAAATTTAGAAGATGAGCAAGACAGGAGAACTATCACCAAATCAAGCATAAAAGTCAAATAAGAATAAAGCCAAATATTCCAGCGGTCCTGGCATGATTGAGTGTTGTCTTGCTAAGAAACAAAATCCATCTACACACTGTTGATGAGAAGCACGCCTCAAGGAAGGTGACAAAGGAGGAGTGTTTTCTTCTAATACACATTCGTTTTGTAGTGGTGTGTTTGTTTGGCCGCTCACATGTTTGTTACCTCTTTCCCTCATTAAGCTTTTTACCCTGCCAGTGCAGAAGCCACCCACAGCTGTTTTCCTCACCCCAGTACCTAATGTATTACTTCAAAGATACTAGGAATTCCATAAGGCCTACTGAGCATTTTACATAGAATATCTTTTGTGACTCACACTGGTCTCAGCACTTAATGTATTTCATGAAATCCTCATTAGAACTCTCTTTTTTTTTTTTAATGTTCAACTTTTTTTTTTCTTCTCTTTTTTAACATTTTATTAGGG